GGCTCTGCCTGAATCGAGCGTGCAAGGACAGGGTGAGGCGAGTTGTGCTACGAAACAAATCCCAACCAGTTTGTGCAATATCCAACGAGCATACGCCAGGATCACCAGGTTTGGTTGTTCCAACGGCGCTCCATTATGGAGGTGAACACAGGCACGGATGCGAAGAACACTGATCTCACAACCCTGGAAGACCAAAGGGCAACATGGGAACCCCCATGAGGGTCACAAAAAGGTTCATATTATTGAACTTTGCCGAGCTGTCTGACGTCCCAAGCTGCTGCTTGAGGCCGTGAGCATAGTGGCAATCCGGACAAGGCGTTTTTTCAGGGCAATCCAGTCCATAGGATGTCACATCTTTATTCGCGCCGGGTAGCAAGCAGAACATGCGAAGGAGCCTTGCAACGTCATAGTTTCCGCAGGCTTCACTGATCGCGATGGCGGTCATGACTCTCACCACGTTCAGACCTTTTTTTTGATGCCCCGGCTTGGCCACATGCTAGGTGGCACACTAGGTGGCACATATCATATCTCATGATTTAGGACCAAGGTTCGGGAAAGCTTCCAATACTATAGTTAGTTGACTTGAAATTGGAATCGGAGCACCAGGTGGAGCCCATATTCTGCACCCAGCCATGTCGGGAAGGCTTTCTGCGTTGCCCCGTTGCTGCTTTGACATTGTCAAGCTTTCTGCGTTGCTGATCGGGCCCAAAATGTGATTGGTCAGCAAATGTCTGGAGACCCAGAGTGTTGTTTGCTGTTTTTGTTGGACGTGCTTGCGCTGCACTGCACGCTGTTGCAAGTTGTCTTTTGGGATCTTTTGGGTAGGTTCCTTCGCTTCAAGTTTGGAGTGTTGCCCATCTGGACCCTGCAATAGCCAATGCTAGCCTATATATACTAGGCTAATAGGCTAATAGGTTTGTTTTGTATTTATCTATCTGGTATTTTAATGCATGTTTCGACCGACCGCCGCAAAAATGCAACAATTGTCCAACATTCTGCAGACTTGACGTGGCCTGTAGGCAGGCCGGCTACAAACCCCCATTGTACGCCCAAATCATCTCAAACTGCAAGTGATCAATGATCCGCAAATTGTATTTCTAGTACCGTCAACTGAAAAGCCAAAGAAAGCTCCAGGGCAGTTTCCCAAATTTCTCCCGCGCCCTCGATGGGCTTCCTTCCGATCGTGGCCAAACGCATCACTTGCCAATGTCCTATCCCCCGCAACACTGGCATTTATTACTCCAGCCCCATCACCCTGTTCTCATTGGCATTGTAGCGTCCAGAATGGGTTGCGCACAGGTTCTTCCCGCTAGAAGATCCCTGTTGACACTCTTACTGCACACTGTGCATGATCGTGGCCATCAACAACCTCATAGTAGTCAAGCTGTGGCATGTTGCACTCTCTCGACCAGTGTTCAAGGGCTCGGCTTGCTGTCCTGACCGCTGGACTATAAAAGCAGCCACTGCCGGCAACGTTGAGGCTATCTGCTGTTTCAGCTGGGATGATGGTGGCTTTAGCTGCTTTGAGCAACTCTGCATCGCATGGTTCACTTGAAAAGCTGCGCCCAGGCGCGTCGTTGCATAATTAATTACTGTATATACGGAGATGTTCCCTTTTCTGTATGGGTTGCTTTTGGCATTTGGGCGTCATTCTTGATGGCTTCTGCACAAGGTCCTTGGCCCGTACCGAGCAGCTTTGCATTGCTGCATATTGATGTCCACGCACTACAGCCCGCAGGGAACCATACCAGTCCGACCCGATTCTCGGCGAAAAGCCACAAAGAACTGTGCTGCTTGATGTTCCAGCTGGCATTCCCGAAGGGTGTCGGCAGCTTACAATGGAAGACCACGCCGCTCTTCATACGTAATTGCTTGCCGACTGGTGTTACGGTGATTAAGTTCTTAGATCTGCTTAGCAAATGTTCTCAGACCCTCCAGCTCATTCTCAGGATGCAGTTAGCGTAGTGTTCGTCCGTGCTTTATTTCAGGTGCTTCGGGATAGGCACACCGTGAGCCGACGCTGCACCACGTACAAGCTCGAACCGTCCCCGCTCAGGAAATTTGGCGTGGCTATCAGAACTGAATCATTACACAAATGCACCGCGACCAAAGCACACACTCAGGAAAAAGTACGAACGAAGGTTGCCAAAATGCCTAGCAGAAGCCTACGTGCAAAAATCATCAACAATTGCATAGGATGGCTTGAGTAAAACACAGTTCCAAAAAGATCAAGCTCCAAAAACTGCGTGACTGCAGTGAGAGAACCGACACAACGGCTGGAAAGCTTGTTCTAGGTATATACAACCAGGACTACAACCAGGGCCCATAAGGAAAAGTTACTTTAGCATTCGAGCAGGTACGTGCAGAGCTGATCAGGCTGCATATCCTGAGGTCACCATAGAGCGGTTCGTTAGGCATTGTCCTCCTGCGCCCCTCCAAAGATTCCCCTGAAAAATGGAACAAACATCCCTGTGTCAATTCAGGGTGGGGGTATAAACGGATATAAAATGGTGGCAGGCATCAACCTATTGCGCATTGCACATAAAATGCAGGTACACCACCAAATGTGTGCATACATCAAAATGTCATGTTTGTGTATGTGACTGGTTCATGAGCCTCACAAAAGGATATAGTACGCTAATTTATTATAGAAGATATTAAAACATATTTTCAAATAGAAGTCTGCATATTCCTCCCGTGGCAGGGTTCCGGGACAAATAGAAGAAAGGCGTCAAGATAACAGGTTGATAAACGTGCTCACCAACAGGTCTTCAAGTAGAAGAAATAGTATTTTTGGCACAAAATGCACATGAGCCGCCCGCTCTCTTTCCCTTGCGCTCTCACTCTTTCTCGCTCTCTCCCTCCCTCTCCCTCCCTCCCTCCCTCCCTGGAGAAGAGAAAGTTCTGCAAGGAAGCTCCCGGTGAACCAGCTCACAGCGCCGGGCCGAGC